AAAACCAGGGGCTTGATGGCCTGTCAGGAACAGAGGAGCTGAGGCATGGTGGGGTGAGCAGGATGCACGTGAAAATCCCGTTTCATAACATAACGATGCAAAGATGATTTCTTCCATCCAGTAAAGCAAATCAAACTCCATACTGGGGAGTCCAAACTCCAAATTACTGTGGCGTCAGACTTGGACCTTTAAGACACCCGGTTACTGTTTCCAGCTTGCAGCTTACTTGCTCATTGCAACTTGCAGCTTGCGTGCGGGTGCTAGAGCAAGCAGCAGCAAACTTATGAGCGATGGCACCCATGTGCAGACCAGTGAAGGTGTCCTGGGGGTGCAAAGGTGTGTTGGCTTTGGGTCACCACACCCCTGTGAACAGTAGAGTACAAGAGGGTTGAAAGTTTGTCTGTAGAACAGAAAAGTGGGAAGAGCTGGGAATGGTGAGTCCTGGGATGCTGGAGGAATGAAATTTGAGCCTTTTATCCCCCTAGACTAAAAATATCCTGGAAGGACTTGATAAAATAGATCAGACAGAACCTTCACCTCGAGTGGCATAACTCCAAAACAAGTAGAGAGTACTTAGGATGGGATAACATATTTTAATGGAGAAATGCTGCCATTTTAAGTGCCTTTTTGATTGTTTAAAGTTTCTTGTAACAGAACCTGAAACATGAGTCATTGCCAGGAAGGGAAACACCCACTACAGCTTTTTTGTGAGAAGCAGAGGTTCCGTAGCTCAAGAAAATGAAACTTAAACTTTGCACTGCCCTGCAGGAGCCATGGCAGCACAGAACCCTATAGGAAACCTCCAGGATGAAGCTACCTGCCCCATCTGCCTGGAGTATTTTACTCAACCTGTCACTCTGGAGTGTGGGCATAACTTCTGCCGAGACTGCATCACCCAGTGCTGGAATAGATTACAGCCCAACTGCTTCTGCCCCCAGTGCAGGCAAGATGTGCAGCAGAGAAACCTCAGGCCCAACAGGCAGCTGGAGAACGTCTTAAAGATAGCCAAACAGTTGACTGTGCAGGCAGTTAAAGGGGCAGGAGGGAAGGAGGTGTGCCAGGAACATCAGGAACCTCTGAAACTGTTCTGTGAGGAGGATCAAACCCCCATCTGCGTGGTGTGTGACAGATCCCGGAGTCACCGAGCTCATGCTGTGGTTCCCATTGAGGAGGCTGCCAAGGAGTACAAGGTAGGGAATGTCTATCCAGTGTAATGTGAAGTAACTTAATGTTAATACCAGCTTTGCTTTATCATAAGCTGCCTGCTACAAGCATTGGTGTGATTTCATCTTCCAGATCTGTAAAACCACCAGTGAATGAAAGATGCAATAAGTGAGAAATGGCATTGCAGAGTGGGAACAGAGATGGACGATGAAAACCTGAAAGATCTCTGATACAGGATGCTGAAGCCTTAACCTTGCTTCCCTAGCTACTATCAAACTATGAAACCCTCTGTGAAACAGTGCCCTTCTAGCAAACTTTTAACTGATTAGGGAGATTTAAGTGGCAGCATCTGTAGCAGTAGGGTTGGAGTGCTTGTCCAGGAAATGTTGAGAAGCAAGGCTTTTTTTTGTGATATCTTTTCTTGCACCAGTTGTATGGTTGGGAGGGCTGCTGGGCAAGCTTTCAGGCATCAGGAGGCTTCAGGTCACCTGAAGAAGGACACCTGATGCTTGAAAGCTTGTCCAGCAGTTCTCCCAACTATACAGTTTATCCAATACAAGATATCACAAAAAAGCCTTGCTTCTTGAAAATGTGTAGGCTCATGTACGTGACACTGTGGTCATTAAGACAGGAAGTTACCAGCTTTGGTCATTGTTAGTGATTTGCTTCATTGCACTTTGAATTATTATTTTCTGCATCCCAGCAGCACCCATGAACCCCCAAAAAGAATGAATCTTGATTGTGCCGGAGATAAAGGCTATGTCTACACTGTGCCAGTGGTAAGCCCTAGACCACAGTGTAACAACCTGCAGGAAGCTGTATGAGGAACAATACAGAGTGGACATCAGAAAGCATCTCTGTGCATGAAGTACATAGCATACATAACCTGACCACCCACACTCCAAACATGGAAATGTACCACCAATGAATCTCCCAGACCATCTCCAGCATGTGGTCTCAGGCAAACTGCAAACTTTGATCTTGAGGGTGACCAAAGAGGAACACCCGGTGTTGTTTCACTAGCATATTCCAGGGATGGAGCATGCCTATGTAGGTCCTGGCCATGATACACCATCACTACAATGTGGACATTCCCCAAAAGGGAGCAACAGGCTAGAAACAGATGTTGCATTTGTCCCAGATAAATTGTGCCAGTGTTAGTTCCGCAACAAAAATATCCCAGGATTGGTGTACATACATATCACTCTTCTAATCAAGGTTTAGTGAGCAGCCTCTTTTCTGCCACTGATTCAGTAATGAAGTTCCAGAATAATTGTGCAGATGTACTTGCAGTATCTCACAATAAACTGTTACAATCTCTTATCTGGGAAACTTTTTAAAGACTTATCCTGTGACAAGGGACATGTACAGCTGTACAATTGCAGTTTATCCAGTGGTAAATGCAGTGTCTTTGAAGCCATAGATGATCCCTGCCATGAGCAACTTACTGTCTAAACAGATGAGGCAGACAGAGGTTGGAAAGGAAAGAAGTAGGCCTGTGCGAAGCAGCTAGTATTCGGTTCAGATTTGGCCGATTCGGGGGATAATAATTCGATTCAGTGATTCAAATCACTGTCCCAAATTGATTCTGCTGAATCTCCGAATCACAGAGGCCCATCTCCCACCCGCTCTCCCAGCCCTGGCAATGGCTGCCGTGCCCACCCCAGCTCCCGGCACTTTGAAAAAAAAAAAAGCCCTGACTCACCAGGTACTGCCTGGCAGAGGGGTGATGCCTGCTGCCCCCCACTGCCCCATGCTGTATGGGGGGGCTCTGCAAAGCCTCCTGACTACCCCCTTTTTGCTCCCCCGGCCCTCCCCCGCCCATGGCTGCCCTGCCTGCCCCAGCTCCGTCCCTTTGAGAAAAAAACCCAGACTCACTGGTTCCTACCCAGTGGGGGGCGATCCCTGCTACCCAAGACTGTCCCGTGCCTCATGGGGGGCTCTGCATGACCCCCGAAGCCCTGAGGCTGCTGCAGGGCCTCGTGAGTTGGGGGGGGGGTGTTTGTTCTTTTTCTTTCTTAAAGGGGTGAAGCTGGAGCAGGCGGGGCAGCCATGAGGGGCGGGCTGGGAGAGTGGGGGTGGGTCGGGGGGCTCATGGCAGAGCCCCCCATGCAGCGTGGGGTAGTGGAAGACAGTGGGGATCACCCCCCACCTCCCACCAGGCAAAACCCAGTGAGTAGATTGTTTTTTCTTTAAAGTACTGGGAGCTGGGGCTGGGCGGGTCAGCCATGGCGGGCGGCTGGGGGAGCAGGCAGGGGATGGGGCCTGGCAGGACTTCCATGGCACCCCTCCAGGCTCCAGCCTGCCCTCTCCTGTCCCCTACTTACCAGCTCTGAGTCTGGCTCCAGGTCTCTGCTGCAGCAACCGGGGACTGCCCGAATCATCAAAGCTCTCTGAATCTTTTCTGAATGGATTTGGAGAGCTTTGAATTGATTCAGACCTTTTAATTGGATCCCTGATTCGATTTGGATTTGAGATTCATCCACTGAATCAGGCTGAATCTCCTCCGAATTGAATTGGAACCCAAAGCTTCACACAGCCCTAGAAAGAAGCATAGGGGGATGCAGGGACTTGCCAAGGTCACATCTAAAGGCTAGAGGTCATGTTGCAAAGTGGAGTCAAATGCCACAGCTGCTTGATCATGCAGGAAATAAGATACCTGGGAGAGAATTTAACATCAGAAGGTGGACAGGTAAAAATTAACAAAACTAAAGCTGTCTCCAAAATGCCTGTGCCAGTATACAAGGGAGATGAACAAAGATTCCTATATTCTAGCTCCCTGGACCAGCCCCTTGAGAGCATGGTTGTGCAAAAATGTCATGATAGAAACAGGATACAAACCCACATAAAAAATTTGGGAACTTTAAGGGTTTAATAAAAGGAACTGTGGCCTGGAGGTACTCTGAAAACATGTGCAGAGTCCTTTTACAATGGTGGAAATCACTGAAGAAAGAGGACTGAATAATTTGAAACACCATGAACATTACTAGGTCTCCAATGGTAAGTTTTTATTTCCTTACTATCTCTGATGTTATAAGCAGACTATGTTCTCCAGTCAGTCACCCAAATCCTTTCTGTTTCCAGGACAAAATTCAGACCCACCTGAAGACTCTGAAGCAAGACCAAGAAAAACTCAAGAAATGTAAACTGACTGGAGAGAAGAGTATCGGGGAGTATCTGGTAGGTCCTCATTGTCATTAAGCTGAACGGAGATAGGAGACGAAGGGTGGAGTTTGCACGTATATTCTTCTGTGAGCCTAGTCAGCATGGATTCCATGTCTCTCTCCTTGGCTGTTGTGTATCCCTTGAGATTCTCTGTGTATGTGTGTTTGAACATGCATAAGTGTGAGTGTACCCACACTCTGACTAATCTCCCTTGGAATATCATCCTTTTCTGCAGCATCTAAGTTTTCAGGTCAAATAATTAATTACTTGCATGGCAGCTTTGAGGAAAACTGTCCCAAAGTGGACTAATTAACCCACACAGTGCTGTTTAGCTTCTGCCTTTCATCATTTACTTCTCTGATTCTTTCCACTCCCCGGGCACCTCAGTCAATGCACAGCCTCTTTATTTCCTGCAAATCTGCATTGTATTCTTAGAGGCTATTGATAGCATAGTATCCTCATCCTGTCAGGCCTGGAAAGACCCTTTGGAGAGGTAATGGAAATATGGTAGGGGAGGGGGTCTTTTTGCTATTAACCACAAGGTATTTTAGGTCTCTTAAGGCTTGATCCCTCTTACAGCAAACCCTGAATGTTCCTTCCTTTTTTCTTCTTTTCTTTTTCTCTTCCCTTTTCTTACAGAGAAAGACAGAAGCTGAGCAGAAGATGATTATATCTCAGTTTCAGCAACTGCACCAGTTCCTGCAGGAAAAAGAGCAACTCCTGCTGGCCCAACTGAGAGAGCTGAATAAGGAGATTGTGACGCTACAGAATAAAAACATCACCAAACTAGCCCAGAGGATTTCCCAACTCCATGACCTGATTCGTGAGACGGAGGGGAAATGCCAGCAGCCAGTGAGTGAGTTTCTGCAGGTGAGTGTTATGCTTGTCCAAGGGCCTTCATAAATAATAAGTCCAGCCACAAGTGTGGGAGAGAGTGCTGCCCAACTGGCAGGCACAGGGTATATTTAAAACACAAATTAAAACTCTACAAATGTTGCCATGACCTGATTCACCAGAAAGTAAGTTAATATTCACACATGCAGATTCACCAGATTCACATATCATATTCACATATCTCACAGTGAGCGTGTATTAGAGAGTGCTCTGTACCTTGCACAGATTAGGGAGGGCACATGAACCCTGGTTACTGGAAGCCAGAAGCTAGTGAGCACAATGTGACTCAAAGTTTGCACAAAAGATTTGGGAATTATTATGGCTCTCTGAGTTAGAGTCTCACAGATGTTAAAGAAGGAACATGCCTGACCCTGTTTCTGGTGTATTTTCATTTCCATCTTTGCACATGCCATTCCTGGGGTCCCTAATGTGTGTCATGCGGGACTCAGATTCTCTCTTTCTCTCTCCTCTCTAGGGTGTCCGAAGTACGTTGAACAGGTAGGTGTTTCCTTTTCACCCCCTTCTCAGCTCCTGTTGTTCAGAAGGTTTTGCAGATCTTGTTAGATCCACATCTTTCCAGAGTACATCACCATTGGTGGGAGCCAGTCATATTCTGGCATAAATCCCTCTGGTGAATTTAACAACGAGAAACTCATCTTATTACAAACCTTGGGAGTTCCCCATTCTTTGGCATGAGTTATTATTACTGTAAAATATTTTCCAGAAGTGTTACATCCTTGAGGTCCTGGCTGCCTCTTGAGTCTCCAGGTGGGATGTAGACCATTCATTGCTAGGTCATTGCTTGCAGTGCTGCCCAGCTCAGCAAGGATACAAAATCTTTCCCAGTTGAGATTCAAGAGATGCATATGGGTAGAGCTGTGCTTGGCGTAGCTGGGTATTCTTCCTAGTGCACAGATACCCTCAGTTTTGGGCCTATCAAATATATGGGAACAAACCAGTCATGACAGCATAGAGGCTGAGTGATGTGGCCATAAACTTGCCTCCTTATTTATCCATGAAAGCTTATCTTTCTAGGACAGGATGCAAAAATATTAATGGGATGCTTTGAAGAAAGACTCCACTCCACTGCCTCTGCTGCACCTGCCCTGGTGTTGATGTTAACTCCAGGCCCATCAGAACAGTTGCTCTCACTAGCTAGGAATCCAAATGAGTTACTGAATATAATATGATCACCTTCCACGAGGTGCCTAGCCATGCTAGTCTGAAATCAGGTAGAAGGTAGGTCAGGTGAGCACCTTAAAGACTAGTTGGTTCAGAGAGGCATGATCTTGTGTAGCAGTGGCGCTCAACCCTTTGGCCTCATGGGCCAAATAAATGGTGTGGGGCCCATCTGTGGCCTGGATTGGGTCCTGGGGCCTGGTACCACCCTTCCCTGCCCCAGATGCCAGGACTGAATCGTTGAGTCCTGGCACCACCCCCTCCTACTTCCTGCACATCAGGGATGGGTCCAAGGGGCCTGGCACCACCCCTTCTCAACCCCCTTCCCCCACCACTGCCTCTGACTGCCACTGCATGGTCAAATCAGGTGCCAAATCCAGCATACAGGGCTTCCCTGATGCCAAATATCCAGATCCATGGGGGAGCCACATGAACTGAATGGCTTAGTGCTATGGGCTGGATCTGACCTATGAACCAGAAGTTGAGCACCCGTGTCTTGTAGGGAGCATCCTGTTACATCAGATACTATCTGATAAAGAATTTGATGAAGTAGATTGTTTCCTACAAAAGCTTATGCCTCTCTGAACCAGTTAGTTTCTAAGGGGTCACTCTACCTTCTGCCTCTAGATGATAACCTGAAATTATTTCTTTCCAGGTGTGAAAAGGGGAAGTTCCAGCACATGGTGGAGATTCCTTCTGAGCTTGAAAAAAGACTTAAGGATTTCTCCCAGAAAAATGTTATCCTAACAGAGACTTTGAGAAAGTTCAAAGGTACTAAAAAGGGTTCTAGGGGGTGTGTGTAGTTGAAACGGGCCCTAAATTGAAGCGATGGATTTTTAAAAACACCACTTCAATTTAGGCCCATTAAACCACCATGTCCTGCACACACCTGACTTAACCTGCGTCTCTGGCAGTGGGGAGGGGAGGGCGAGCTGCCGACGAGTGGAGCAGTCCCTCGGTTGCAGGGGAGGCTGGTGCTTCCTGCCATGGCAGCAGCGCCGCCACCCCACCCCTCCGGCGACATCCACCTGCAGGCACATGGCTTGGGCGGTCCCGGGGGGCACCAGGAAATGGAGGGAAGCACCAGGCCCCTGCACAGCTCAGGCAGGCTCCAGGAAAAAAAAAAAAGATCAGGTTCACCGCTTTTTTTTTTCTCTCCCTTGGGAGGAGCGTGCCTTCCCTGGCTGCTGCCAGGCTGCCTGCAGGGCTTCCTGCAGAGTCCTTGAGCTGCATGGAGCTAGGTGCTTCGCTCCGTGGCTGTAGGGCAGCAAACTAAAACTCCTCGGAGGAGTTTTAATTTGCTGCACTCCAAGTCATTTAAAGCATGTTACACCACCGAATTTTCTACAGTGGCTGTAATTAATGCGCAATACACCACCAAGGTGTGCGAATACTGACACCATTAAAGTGGTGCATTTAGCCTGCTTTAAAGTGTCGTGCACACGTGCCCCTCCTTTTGTGTACACACGGCCTAGAAGGGGAATGGGGACAGGTCTCTGTGACTATGGGAGGTGATGGCATCTGGCCTGTTAGTCTGCAATTAGGTTATTCATAAAAAAAATAAGGTCAACAAACAGTGAAGATATAGCAAGGGCCCAGGCATCAAGAGATTTGCATGAATTTATTCTGTGACCTCAGGAAAGTTGCCAAGTCCTAAATTCAGCAAAATGTCTGTTTTGGGGGTGATACGATGAGATGCTGAAAATTAAGACCACCAAGTTGTGAGGTCCTGAACAGCTACAGCCAGTCAGTAGGACCTGCAGGTGCCTGGTCCATGTGAGTGCTAGGCCCCAAGTGCCTTATGGTCAGCACGCAAGATTTAGACCCTAAACCAAAGACTATTCTTGAAATTTGAACCCAAATAATGTTTCAAGAAGGTGCAAACCCTTCCCTTTACCATGGGAAATCTCTTCAGCAGAGGAGATTCCTCTGCTTCCTGCATAGCCACTCCAGATCAGGAAGTATTTCTGGGCCATGGACAAGGCAGGAACAGGACAGGAAAGGATAGGTGCAAACAAGAGGATGGCCATGCTGAACCTTCACTTTTGATGCTCTCCCATCTTCATAAACTCTCATATGAGTCACTACACTAGACTTGTAACTCTTGTTGGACCCCAGGACTCCCTTACCCTGTATCTCAGTCTGTATTGATCCCTGCATTCAATATGTAGGGAAGTTACAAAATGCTCCTTTGTCAATGCAAGTTGGGATATGGACTATGGAACTGACCATTATCCCACCTCAGACTACATGTCAATTAAACCATTTCATCATGATAGTTTCATAGTTGGTAGGGTCGGAAGGGACCTGAGCAGATCATCAAGTCCAACCCCCTGCCATGGGCAGGAAAGGATGCTGGGGTCACACGACCCTGGCTAGGTGATTATCTAGCCTCCTTTTGAAGACCCCCAGGGTAGGAGTGAGCACCACTTCCCTAGGAAGTTGGTTCCAGATCCTAGCCACCCTAACTGTGAAGTAGTGCTTTGCGATGTCTAGCCTGAATCTACTCTCAATCAACTTGTGGCCATTATTCCTAGTCACTCCTGGTAGTGCTCGGGAGAACAGGGACTCTCCCATTTCCTGCTGGTCCCCCCTGGTAAGTTTATAGATAGCCACTAGATCCCCTCTCAGCCTTCTCTTGTGGAGGCTGAACTGGTTCAGGTCCCGTAGCCTCTCTTCGTAGGGCCTGTCTTGCTGCCCCTGACCATGTGAGTGGCCCTTCTCTGGACCCTCTCAATGCTGTCCATATCTCTCCTGAAGTGCGGCGCCCAGAACTGGATGCATTACTCCAGCTGTGGCCTGACCAGTGTCGCATACAGGGGGAGGATCACCTCCTTGGACCTGCTCGAGATGCATCTGTGGATGCATGACAAGGTGCGGTTAGCCTTACTGACTGTGTCCTCACATTGGCAGCCCATGTTCATCTTGGAATCAATAGTAACTCCAAGAACCTTTTCTGCCTCTGCACTGACAAGAAGGGAGTTCCCCAGCCTGTAGGTGTGCTGCTGGTTGTTCCTCCCCAGGTGCAGCACCTTGCACTTGTCAGTGTTGATTCCCATCCTGTTCTCATCTGCCCACCCCTGTAACCTGTCCAGATCTAGTTGTAGCCTGTCCGTCCCTTCTAGCGTGCCTACCTCTCCCCACATCTTAGTGTCATCCGCAAATTTGAACAAGGTGCTTTTCACTCCCTCATCCAAGTTGCTGATGAAGATGTTGAACATTGCGGGCCCGAGGACTGAGCCCTGGGGAACCCCACTGCCCACATCCCTCTAGGGCGAAAATGACCCGTCCATCACCACTCTCTGGGCGTGGCCCTCTAGCCAATTTGCAACCCATCTAACTGCGTAGGCATCAATACCACAGTCGCCTCATTTTTTAATGAGAATGGGGTGAGAGACAGTGTCAAAGGCCTTCCTAAAGTCCAGAAAGACTACATCCACCGTGACACCTGCGTCCAAGGATTTTGTGACCTGGTCATAAAAGACAAACAGGTAGGTCTGACAGGACCTGCCCCTAACGAACCCAAGTTGGTTGCCCCTAAGCATAATCTCCCCTGCTGGCCCCTCGCAGATGTGCTGGATAATTTTCTCAAAGAGCTTCCCCAGGACTGAGGTAAGACTAATGGGCCTATAGTTTCCTGGGTCCTCCTTCCTCCCTTTTTTGAAAAAGAGGACCACATTGGCCCTTTTCCAGTCCTCTGGTACCTGGCCAGAGCACCACGAGTATATTTTGGTCAGTGGGAAGGAGAACTTCATTGTGCTGATCTCTGTACAGACAGGGAATATTTAGGTCCAAAGAGTGCAGAGTTTTGGGTCCAGACTCTACAACGTTGCCATCTCATTAACGTCAATGTGGTTGTGCTTTGTGGTTGAGCCTTTTCAGGGTCTAGCTGTGGGTTCTGACAAAATGGAGAAGCTGTAAATGTCTCTTAGCTCTCATATCTCTTTGGATGTTTTTCAGACGTGTGGATTGAATCGGATAGTTTGAGATGCCTGAATGGAAAACTGAAAATGGAATAGAAAATGTCAAATGAGTTTGCATGAAAAATATGTTTGTGTCTGTCCTTTACTATGTGTCTCTGCCATAATCAGCTTCCCATAATGTTAGTGACGAGCGGGGAAGTTGTTATACATGTAACCACATGAAATCTCTGTTCTCGTATGCTCTTTCCTCTTTCAGATACTCTGCACTCTGAATTGGAGATAAAAAACCATAGAGTACTTGGACTACAAAGGCATGGTGAGATTACTGGTAGGGAAGAGAGATGACTCCCATTAAAAGACAAATGACTGATTTGTAGCTAAAGCACACACTAAACAAGTGCCTGGCACATCCTTCCCCTTCCAAATAAAAACACAGCTAGTAAGGACGTTCTGAGCTGATGTCACAGAGTCTTGACACCAGCGTTGTTGCTGAGTACATGCACATGCCAAGTCAGAAATGGTTTTGAAGAGCAGCATTTCAATTCCCTTTACTCATAGGCTTTATTAAGTATAGAGGAAAGAG